TCAATTCCATCTTTAGGTATTGCAGTAATGATATCATCTACATATACTTTTAAGAATGGAACTGTAAAAGGTAAGTTGCCTTCAATTTTTTTTAACACGTGATTTATTACCAAATTCGCTAATATTGGGCTTGCTGGATTGCYCATACTAGAACCATCAAGTTGTTGGTAAAAAGATCCATCGAATTGGAAGTAGCTTGATTCAAAACAAAATTGTATTTTTTCTAATAAGATGTTTTTTGGTATCATTATGAAGTTTTTGAGTTTATTCCAATCGTCATTTATCGTTTTTATTACCAGTTTTTTCGGGATGTTCGTGAACAATGAGATTGCATCTAACGATACTAATCTATAATCTTCTGGTAGTGTTATTTTTTGTATGAATTCTACAAACTCAAAAGAATTCTTAACCGAAAACACAAATTTGTTTGTCATAGCTGAGGATAATTTATGATGTAAAAATTGGGCCAATTTATAGCAAGGTGAACGAATGCAGCTTACAACTGGTCTTAAGGTTAGGCCTTGTTTATGTGTTTTCCTTAGTYCATATATTTTTGGGGCGACCGAATTGTAAGATTTCATGTTCTTTTCTATCTCTTCCGTGATAATCAATTCTTTTCTTAGTTTCGTTATCAAATTATTGGCTAATTTCTCAAATCTACTGGTAAGATCTTTATTCAATAATTGATATATGTTTTTATTTTGTAACATCTTATGCATTTCATTTAAATATTCTTCTTTCTTCATAATAACTGTGTTATTCCCTTTGTCCGATCTCATTATAATTAAATTCGGATTGTCTTTTAGGAAACGTTTTGTTGTTATAAAGTTTTTTGTTACTTCATCCTTCCATGGTCTTTGGTTATTTTTATAATAATTAGAAATTATATTAACAGCCTTAACTCTTACATTGTTTTGTTCATCCTTTATATTCGTATTATCACTTTTCGTGCTATTAATATGTCTTATGCCTTCCTCTAAGTCTTTTATTAACGAACAAACTGGAACTTTATTCGGTTTTAACGGG